GCACTGTGGCTCAAGTGGTAGAGTGCTAGCCTTGAGCTGAAGAGCTGAGGGACAGTGCCCAGGCCCAGAGTTCAGGCCCCATGACCGGACCCAAAAAAAAATAAAACAAAGAAGCTCTAGTCCCTCATTTCCCATGAAGACACAGAGTGAACGGCAATATACCAGAAAACCTTGGGGAGAATTTTAGAGATCAATTGAAAAATGGCAGCACCTGCCTCCCCCCCAAACCAATGCAAACCAAGCAGGGATGCCAGTGAAAGTGGTAGGCAAGCCTGCACATTTGGCCTTGCCCCTCGCCTACCCCTCCCACCCCTCCACCCCCAGGCATGACAGCTAGGAGGAAACCTCTCCTAGGGAAGAGCCCACCAGGGATGAACACAAGAGAGTGGACCCTGTGGTTGTCTGGGGAATACCCCAGAGAATTTTTTTTCTGTCTCATCTGCCTCAGGGTGTTGACATGAACAACAGCACAGTTGGAAGCTGCCACAATCAGAGGCCATTACTGAGCCTCATTAGTGCTGCAGAGATTCTGTGTTCCACAGAAAGATGTGAGGGAGAGCAAGACATTCTGAGTTCTCAAGAAGGAACAAACAAACTGCTGCATATTTGAGATAATGAAAAGCCTAGGAATTAAACCCATAGGAGACAACCCCTCAGAAAGGACAGAGATTTCAAAATCTCTAATTTGGCTGATTATTCATTTTCCCCTATGACCCCCAGCCCCTAAAGAAATGCAGATCTGGATTTTGGAGTAAAACAGTGAACTGGATGTTTCCTCCCTGTGACTTCATGCACGAAAAGGGTTAGGAAAACAAAAAAGAGCCTACATTCAAAATAGAGACTGCCAAGCACTGGTGGCTCATGGCTGTAATCCTAGCTACTCAGGAAACAGATCTGAGAATCATGGTTCAATATCCCAGGTAGGACAGCCCATGAGACTCTTATCTCCAATTAACCAACAAAAAGCCAGACTTGAAAGGAAAAGCCCACCTGAATTCAAACTCCAGTATCCAGCACTGGCACACACACAAAACAAAAAACAAAAAATAGGAAAGAAAAGGAGCATCAGAGTATCAGGAATCAAAGAAAAGAATGAAGAAACAGAAACAAGACAATGCAAAACTCCAGGCATCGGTGGCTTATGCCTGTAATCCTAGCTACTCAGGAGGTTGAGATATGAGGATTAAGGCTTGAACCAACCCAGGCAGGAAAGTCCATGAGACTCCTATACCCAATTAACCACCAGAAAACCAGAAGTGGTGCTGTGGCTCAAAGTGGAAGAGCACTAGCCTTGAGCAAAAGAGATCAGGGAGAGTGCCCAGGCCCTGAGTTCAAGCCCCACAAGCAGTCCAAAAAAAAAAAAAAAAAGCAATAAGACAATGCAGAGAAAAGTCAGGAAGAGTTCATAGCTCCCACCCTGACTTCCCAGGGGGAGGAAGTGAACGTTGAGCACACATTAATGCAGGCAGCCCTGGTGACAACAGACTGTCAGTCCTAGCCAGTCTGGCAAGTCTCAAACCCAGTGCAGGCTTTGATGTGAAAGGGACTCCTTCTGCACAACAGGCAAACATTGGAGAAAACATTCATTACATCAATTCCCATAGCTCAGAGAGCTTTAGCCAGGCTCCATCTTGACACAAGCCTACTAGACTTAGCTAGTCTGGAGACATGAAAACAATGAACAATCACAAGCCAGGGATACAATTTCAATGCCATTCCCATCAAAACTCCAATAATAATCTTCATGGAAATAAAGAACTCAATCCTAAAATCCATATGGAAGCATAGAATAGCCCAAACAACCAAAGAAATTCTGGGCAAAAATAGAAGTGCTGGAGATATCACAATATTTGACTTTAAATTATATTACAGAATCATAGTAACAAACAAACCAAAAAAAAAAAAAAAAGCATAGGAACAGACATGTGGACCAATGAGATAGAGCTGAAATCCCAGAAAAGGTAGCTGCACAGCTAAAACATCTGATTTTTATTTTCATTTTTACAAAAACGTCAAAATCCTACATGAAAGGATTAGTGCTGGGAAAACAGGGTTTCTACATGTAGAAGACTGAAACTAGACCCAACCATTCTCCCTATATGAAAATCTACTAAAATGAGTCAGAGACATTAGTCTGAAACTCTTAAACTGCTATAGAAAAACATAGAGGACACACTTGAAGAAGCAGGTATGCATGAAGACTCTAGTGGCTCTGGAAATAAACGCAAGAATTGACAAATGAGCAAATTAAAAAGCTTCTGCACAGCAAAGGAAACAGTTATTACCAAAAAAGGCTCTCTACAGAATGGGAGAAGATCTTTGCCAGTTAGTTACAATGTATTTGTGATCTATATTTACAGTCTGTAAAAATGAGTCCTAAAGTCATATAGTAAATAAACATCTATTCACAAAAACTGGCAAAAATAAGTAATAACTAGGTATCAAAAATAAGAATCAGCAAGACAGTCCACCCATACAGATAGGCCAAGAACATAGGGGTTAATTATTAACTTAAAACAGTAATATTTATTTAAGAATAAAGAACTTGTAACCTTCACCCTTGTATATTTTCCTCTAGGGTTTAAGCAGGATCTACAATATGCTTCTACTCAATAGAGCCCAATTATAGCATAACTGATTACAATGACATAAGAACCATCACTACTATTCCTTTCTCTCTTCTGATTGTCTTGAAGTAGAAAGAAGCCAGACATTTCAAGCAGTAGGGACTGGCTAGAAAGACCCACATGACAAAAAAAAAAAAAACACTTGAGAGGCTCAGTCTTATGCCATGCTCATGTTCTGCCAACACCGTGAGCAAACTGAGAACAAACCTTTCCCCAGTTGAACCTCCAGATGAGAACACCGCCCAGCTGATATGTTGATTGGTTCTAGGTGAGACCTTGAAATCAAGAACCAGTTTGGCTGTATCCGAGATACAGACTCACAGAAACTATGAAATAGTTCATAGGTGTTCACAGCCACTGTTTGTACCAGTTTGTTACCTAGCAACTAGTTGAGTATGGTGATGCATGCCTTTAATCCCAGTTACTGGGGAAGTAGAGGTAGGAAGATCATGAGTTTGAGGCCAGCCTGGGAAAAAATAGGCAAAACTTGAAAGCAAAATACAACCCAAAGATCTGGTGGTATTGCTCACCTGATAGAAAACTTGCCTCATATGTTAGAGAGCCATGGTTTTACCCTTAATTCTAGGAGAAAAAAAAACAACATACCAACATACTCGTTGACTAAAATAAAGCAAACATGAAAAGAAAGTCTGCAGAGTTTTGTAACACTTATCTGGCACACATCTTGTGTATCTTATGCAAACTCTGTCAGCGCTGCTTGTATGATAGATACTCAAGGACACACATTGCAAGAGTAATTGGGTACTAATACAATTGAGCTGGGAAGTATTGAGTTTTGCTGAAGAAAAAACAATCATCATATCTGAGATGCTTGTACAGCCAAGGAATCAAATTTCACCCCTTAAGGGAAATATCAACCTCATTAAAAATATATGTTTCCATGTTTATTTGGGGAGAAGGCGATGGATGAGTCAAACTTTGTGGGATGACAGAGCTGGTATACAATGGGAACTACCTCCACCTGTAGGCCATTTGTGGATTGTCTGCATAATATTTAACCACAAGTGAAATGTTTCTCATTCTAGGACATAAAGGAAAATCGGACTCAAATTCAACCTCACATTTTTTTAAAAATTAATTTGTGTATTCACTTGAAATATATTTAGTGCTGGGTGTTGGTGGCTCACACATATAATCCTAGCTACTCAGGAGGCTGAGATCTGAGGATACCGGGGCAGGCAAGTCCATGAGACTCTTTTCTCTAATTAACCACCCCAAAATCGGAAAGTGGTGCTGTGGCTCAAGTGGTTGAGTGCTAGCCTTGTTCAAAAAAAGCTCAGAGGTAAAGCCCAGGTCCTGAGTTCAAGCCCCAGAACTGGCATTTTTAAAAAAAAAAAATGTTATTTAGTGCCTGTGTTTCAGGCACTAAACATTTTGCCCACAGGAAAAGGAATGAAATTCTATCTTGGCCTTGAGCCAGACACTCAAGGAACCAAAACAGGAAACATGAAAAATGATTCTAAGTTTCTTTCCAGGAAATTCATTCGAAGAGGTAAAGGTAGACCAGCCTGAGAGTTCAGTGTCTGTCAATGCTGGAGATGAAGTCACCTTGCCCTGCAGCATGTCTTCTCTGTCACCCAAAGGAACTGTCTCATGGTTCAAAGAGGACGGGCCCAAACGGCAATTAATCTACAGTTTCAATGGAAATCACTTCCCCCGAGTAACTCAAGTACAGAAAACAGTACCCAATCAAATGGACTATTCCATCCGCATCAGCGACATGTCACCAAAGGATGCTGGCACCTACTTCTGTGTGCTGTTAAAGAAAGGGAATCCTGCCATGGAGCTCATGTCTGGTCCTGGTACCTATGTGTCTGTGAAAGGTGAGTAACAGCCTGACACACTTATTCCATTCCCTGGGCATGCACGTGCATGTGTAAAACTCTTCACGGTACCCTCAATGAATTATTACAGCTCATTGGTTAGTAGGCCTCTTCTTGCACAAACCATTCTCTGGGGTTGGGTTCTACAAGAAAGGACCTTCCGATAAAATTCTAGAGTCAAATGTCAAATATTAAATCAATCCATATCTGGAGGCTACAGTCCTTCTTCTCTGATGGTCAGATCTACCAAGGTCCAGAGACACAGGGAAAGAGACTCCCATGGTAAAAGATAGCTCATGGCATGACCCAAATAATAGGGAAATGGAGACCCAGAGGCTTGACTGGCTCTTTGAAGGTCTCAGAACTATTCCTGGGCTCAAATACAGGCAAGGCACTGCACTAGACTGAGAGTCTTTGAACTTTTAGTCACAGCCCTTTAAGGCGTAATCGTGTGTCTCGATTAAGTTTGGCCCCAAATGTCCAACACATCCTGACCCAAAGGAAAGAGCGATCTCCAGGCAGACAGATCATGTTCCCATGATTCCCTTCATCTGCCTCCATTACCAATGGGGATGTGATTGGGGCTCAGTAGCAGGCTGCAGGTGAAGTCTGGGACCACCAATGCTCATACAACAGGTCAATCACTAAGCGTGCAATTAATCACTCCACAGCCAGAGAATTCATCACTCCATGGCCTGGGAATTGTGGAGCCAGAGGAGGAGGCTTGTGTTTGACCATCTCCAGACTCTGGAGGGGCAGGATGTCTTGATGAAGGGCCCAATTGTATGTCTGACACTTGGGTTTCCCCAGGTGAGCCCTGAGCTTCCATGCCTTTATTCCTTGATGACAACCAGTGTTTCATTCTGGTCAACTTCATGTCATGAAGGGCCCTTGAGGCCACAGGCCCCTCTGTTCTGCAGCAGTGTTTCCCTGGAATCAAGGCACCTTTTCAAGGCACACAACTGGCCATGGAAAATCCATGTGTCCCTCAAACTCACTGGTGTGGCTACAGGCTACTTTGCTTCTCTCCTGTCCTGACCTCACTGGACAAGAGTTCCCTTCCCAGCTAACCTGCTCTTTTGTCTGTGATTATGATGTTTTGGAGGCACTGCTATTACCAGGGCCCATCACATCATGAAGTAGTAATGGCGGCTATGTTGAGAAGAGAGTGCGGGTCAGGAAAAGACTTGCAATTATGAGGATCCCTGAGACAATGGTTCTTATTTTTGAGAGAAAATGAGCCTTCCACTTTCCTTGTACCTCTTGAAGGATAAGTAATGGAACCATGCATAGGGTCAACCATCAAATGTTTCAGTTGTGCTGTCTCTCCACTTTCCCCTCTCCAAAACTCTCCAGCACTAATCTCTCCAGAAATTGCAATAGCTCTCTCGCCCTTCTCACAAGAGATGAAGCCGGTCCCATCCTCACTGGAAGACCTGAGTAGAAGGAGCAGAGTTGCACATTTAAGAATGTGCTGGGAATGTGGCTTAAAGGTAGAGTGCTTGCCTAGCATGCATGAATCCCTGAGTTCCATTTCTCAGTACCATATAAATAACAACAACAACAAAAAAAAGTGGTTCAAATGGTAAAGTGCTAGCCTTGAGCAAAAGAAGCTCAGGCATAGTGCCCAGGCCCTGAATTCAAGCCCCAGGACTGGCAAAAAAAAAAAAAAAAGTCCTGGCCTTTGGATGAGTAGAAAAACCAGTTTCTGTCTATGAATGTTAACCCTGCATAAGATCCCCACACTTCCTGTCTTCTTGCCTTGGTTAGGAGCCAAGAAATAGAAATGCGGGGATGACAAATGTGGTGCTCTGGACCTAACAATACCAGAGGACGAGCCGTCTCTACATAGAAGTCATGAATAAGACCCAACCATGGCCTGCATCCAGGTTCCCCCTAGGGTAGTCTGAGCCAAAGCAGGGGAAATGAGAAATGACTGTGTGTTTCTTTCCAGGAACCACAGACCAGACATCCCACGTACAACAAAATGAGATCTCACGGACTGTGGAAATGGGGAAGACGATCACCTTGAGTTGCACTGTGCCCGACACCCTCCCCAGCGGCCCTGTTGCGTGGTTTAAGGGATCCGGGCCAAATCGGAAATTAATCTTCAACTTCAAGGATGATCGCTTTCCCAGAGTAAAAGCTACTGCGGACACCAGCAAAGCTGGCAACACGGATTTCTCCATTCGCATCAGTGAAGTCTCTCTTGCAGACGCTGGAACCTATTACTGTGTGAAGTTCAAGAATGGGAAGCCTAATGAGTATCAATCCGGTCAGGGCTCCCAGGTGTTCGTGACTGGTGAGTGACACTCCTCTACCCTTTGCTGTGTGCTTTATTCTCAGCAATAATCTCTGTGTGATAGACTCTCAGCAATCATCTCTTCCTTTTAATGATCAACTACAGTACGAAAATATTCTTAAAGGTCCAATACATTCTGATCTTATCCTTTTCCCAGTAAGCTATGGGTACTTTTTATACAAGGATAAAGACTCAGAAAGGTTAACTGGGTGATAAAGGGTATTTCTGTTGACTTCTCAATATTCAACCAATCCCAGGGAGCTAAACTGAAAACTAAGATAATCTTATATCCATTACCAGTGGTAGATCCAAGTATAGAGCTTGTTAAATCTAGTGTGGATCTCTCTCTGACAGAGAAACATAGCAGCTAAAATAACTCTCC